CAACCTTAAATGCACATTCAGATTGCCTGGGGGGCTTTAAAAGATCCCTGTACCTGGGTCTCACCTGGAGAGAGTCTGATTTAAGTAGTCGGGGGCACGGTGGGTGCTCTGGAAGTCTTTAAAACTCTCCAAATGATTCTAAAGTGAAACCAAAGATCTGAACCACTGGTCCACGGCTATGTTTGTTCAACAGAGATGTTCTGATGAATTTCACTCATTAACTTGGCATGAAAAAAAATAAAGGAAAACCATTAATGCGGATTGATGGCTATTTAAAGCCATCCTGACTCAGTACACAAAGAGTTGTGCGTGTCTTTAGCAATTAATTCTATTTTAATATCAGATCTTTACAGTATTAATATTATATAGCAGTAAATTACGAAATAAAAGTTTAAAATACAGGACACATCACAACACTATGTTAGTAAATAACAGAAAAAACAGCACACAGGTGGTCCACCTTCAGTCTTGTGCAGGTGAAACACTTCACCTGGAGATCCAGAGGTTTAAAAAGGTGTGTGAATTTTATAGGCATTTGGGTGCTTTCTACTTCGGCTGTGGAAAGAAGGGTTAGAAAATGAGCTCCCAGTGGTGGGAAGGTCTGTTGTTCGTTAACCAATCGAGTCCCTGTTTCCCTGGCCCTTGACCCACCCACCACCTGCTGTTTGTTTCATTCTTGAAGAAGGGGTCCTTTTTATCAAGAGACTTCAGAGGTTGACTTGGAAATTTGTGAGTCTCTGTTGCCCCCTCCTTGACAGCCAGGGAGTCCGTGGCACGTGGGAGTTGAGCTGTTGGAGGGGCTGATGTGTCCACAGCAGTGTTCCAGCTCCCGAGACACCCGTCTGCTGCTTTAAGGGACCACAGGCGTGTCGACTTCCACGGCGCCCATGGTAACAAGCAGTTTTCCTTCCAGGATGGCACTTTCCTGGTCAGAGACAGCTCCAAGAAGACAGTGACCAACCCATACGTCCTCATGGTGTTGTACAAAGATAAGGTTTACAACATCCAGATCCGCTACCTGGAGGACAGCCAGGTGTACATGTTGGGAACCGGACTCCGAGGGAAGGAGGTAAGCACTCCCAGTTGCAGAACTGCCCCCCAGTTTTTCTCACCTCTTTGAACACCTGTCTGCGTGAATTCTGCTGAGACACTCCTCGTGGGGCCACACCACGTGGCAGCCTCGGAGTTAAATCGCTTTAGTGAAACCCGTCGTTTACTGAAAGGAGGTGAAACAAAACGTTAATCGTAGCCACCTCTGCCATAGGAATCTTTCTTGTACCTTTTATTCCAAAATAATCTAAAGATACACGTGTAACTTTTGAAAGAATATGTAAACAGTTCAGTTTTTCGAAAGAAATCCAACTGGTATCAAAGGTAAGTCCCTTCACCAGTCACCTTTGTGGCATAATTTTAATGTAAGGTTGCAGTGTCTGTTTAAGGCTGTATTTTAAATGGACAGATGGAAAAGGAAAAAACAATTCTTGCTGTGGTGATCATTTAGATACTTGGTTCGTTTCTTGCCAAGAATGGAGGTTTGGACAACGAAGGCGGCCCGACGGCCCAAGACGTTTCCCTCTGTGCAGTCACCTCGCGGGTGGCAGTCAGACTGGAAACCTCTCAGGGCTGATTTTTGCAAAGGAAGAGAAGAGCCAAATGTAATGCCCCAAACACGTGCTTTACATTCAGAGTTCAAGGAGGGAGGATCAGCTAAATCAGACATTTCCAGAACGAGAAACAGCTCGCCCAGAAATTCCATACCCCTGCAAATGTTTTTAAGTTACGATCGTGTTGATGAGAAGATAAAACAAGTGTTTGCATGGCGGGGTCGGTGTGGTCGGAGCGGCCTGGGCCCCACCGAAGCGCAGAGGCTGTCCCGGGGTTCCCGGTGGTCTAGTGTGGAAGCGTGCACAAGCACATATCACAGCGGCCCCGGGGAGGCACCTAGCACAGTGGTCAGAGGACGGGCACAGCCCTGTCTGCCGTGTGGAGGTGACTCCTGACCCGTGTCTGGAAGGATGGGTGGGGTTGTTCCAGCTGGCCTTCAGGGATAGGGTGATCCAATGAATGCAGAGCCCTCGTGTGTGTGGGGGCGGGGGGGGGCAGTGGGGGGCAGTGGGGCGCAGCAGAGAAATGAGAGGACTCTTCGCCATGCTGCAGATGTCCTCTCCAGACACTGAGGACACTGACCTCTGGATTGCTTAGCCTCCCCATACTGCTGTTGGCTGAGATACGCGATGCAGAAGCCAAAGCAGAAATACCCGGAGGTGGATCTTCAGGCAGAGGCACCATAATTAGACCCCCTATATATGATTCCCTACATGAGGGTAAAGTATACATATATTTATAGTCAAGCATCTATAGTAGTCATATATATGTAGTCTATAATCCACAGTTTATCGGATATTGGTGAGGAATTGTTTTTTCAAGGTACTACACCAGAAATCATTAAAATACCTGCCAAATTGTAGGGGGTTTTAAATCAAAATCTGCATAACTTCAAGAGGTAGGATATTATGCCGCTGAAAACACGGAGGGTGACCGTGGCGCTCCCTGTCCCAGTGCTGACTCACCTGCCTACTCTGCATCTTCCAGGACTTCCTGTCCGTGTCCGACATCATCGACTACTTCCGGAAGATGCCCCTCCTGCTCATCGACGGGAAGAACCGGGGCTCCAGGTACCAGTGCACGCTGACGTACCCCGCCGCGTACCCGTAGCGAGCCGGCCTCCCGCCCGACTGCGCTGGCGGCCCGGGGACGCGCGTCGGCCTCGGAGCCTGGACACACACTGAGGCCTGGACCGAACCCCTCAACTCGAACACGAGGGTTTTGAGAAGTGTTTGAAATGAAGACTGTCAAGTACCCCATAATTTATTTATTCTTCTTCAGTATTTGTAAAGTGCAGCGGTAATTTTGTTCACACTTGAAGTGGAGTAGTGTACTGTGGTAATTCATACAAACAATGTATATTTTTGGTACCCATTTCAAAGTACGGTAGTTTACGCAGCTACAGAAACAATGTGGGGCAAGTTTCAAAACACTTAAACGGTAGTATTGTTATCACATAAAACTGATTATTTTTTAAATAGCCAAACCTTTGTCAGGGGCAATCATCACTTTTATATGTATAATTTGAAAATTACTAAAATTAACTTTCTCAGCAGCAATAATTTAAAAGGCTTCAAAAATATGTCGTCCTTTCTTACTTGGTGTTTCTTTTTGTTGGGGGGATTTTTATATACTTTTTTATGAAAACATAAATACATGTTGGAATAACTTCCTGAGATTAAAATTTGCCTTCTGCTTTACTTTTGGGTTCCTAAAAACTTGCTTGACCTCACTGTTTAGTCCATACTATTTTATTTTTGTTTTAAAGCAAATTTAAACTAAAAATACCAAAAGAAAACGTTTCAGAGAGGAGGTTTTGGTGTCAAATACACCTGGGTTTAAGTCCATTACGTCTCCACCACCACGTCCCACCTCTCCTCAAACGGTGTGGATTCTACCAGAGTCCTCCTGGGCAGACGAAAGGAATGCACACACACAGGAAAACCTGACCCGAGTTTCTGGCCAGAGAGATACCCTTTCTTCCACCTCTTTTTAGTCCCCCAGCAACTCTGTCCTAAAGCTCCTCTCCTCCTCCTTCCCAGAAGCGCTTTACAAATCCCGCAGAGCAGCTCAGCTCCTTCCTTAGCCGCAGACCTCACTCAGGAACAAGCAGCAGGCCGTCAGGGGTCCTTTAGGTTTTACCCTTCGGGCCCTTGGTTGCTATTCCACAACTTCTATGAACAAAAATCATTGGCTTCTCTGCTTAATCTGCAAGTTTTCAGAATGGCAAAGTATGTCTTGCTATTTCATTTTCATGAGGTACTAGCACATGGAAGGACCCAGAAAGTCACCGGGTTAAAACGGACAATTTCCTATGATGAGTATGTAGACACTCGTAACCGAAGACGGTAACAGTGACGTCTCACAAACCACCATCCGCACCAGCTCTCGGCGCAGAGCCCAGAACTCGGATGTGCTGCAGCTGAAAACCCGCGTTTACTCAGTGTGTTAACACTGAGCTGGGTGCTGGGCAGTGAGCAGAGCAAACACGTTAGGTTCTGTCACGGAGGGGCGGACCTTGCATCCTGCTTCACAGTATTCTACCCTTTGTATGTGAAAATATCTAAAATGAAGGCTGTGGTAGATTTTCAAGCAACTATTTGGTAGCGAATCCTGTTTACATGGTGAACGAAAGCCTATTAGTTTGAGTTTCCTTTGGTGGAAAGAGACAGAAAGAGGGAAGTTTAGGATGAGGCGCCCTGAAGTGAGAGCTGGCCCACTGCTGTGACTGCATCAGCCGAGTGCCTGGCGGCTTTTATGGCTGGCATTCTCTCCCCCTTGTCAGGCAGCGGCAGCCCCTTCTTCTGGCGGGGTCTCCCCACCGCGGGCCACAGACCTGGCGTAGGACCCAGCCTCACCGATCATAGTTGCTTAGGACCCTGCTCAGGGCTCAACATCTTAACCGAAGCTGGTGTCCTTCTCTGGGACGTGAAACACAGAGGCTGAATCCGAGGGTCTCTCTTCTCCGGGGAGCTGAACACCCAGAGCTGTCTGTCTGTACACCTGGAGGCGTCCGCTGCCATGCCCCTACCCTCGGTCTTTCGGGGGGAACCAGTCCGTAACAGGCGAGGGCGAGGCCACAGCCCAGAGACAGAGCCAGGACACAGACAGCAGATCAATCAGCGGAGCCCCTGACATCTAGTCCAGCCGAGGACTGCCAAGTCAAACGGCCCAACACGTGCTTCAGCTGGCTTAAGTCGTTTCTGGCGCTTGCTACCAGGAGAGATCTTACTCGTATAAACTCACCATCCATTTGAAATTTAGTGACTCTCAGCGGGAGCCAAATCCAAGCATAAGGTAAAGGATGAGCGCTGGTGCCACACGGCCAATTACCCTTGTCGTTAGTGAAATCAATCAGCCATTCTTTGAACTATTAAAACAACAATAAATCAGCCTTCAGGAACATGAAATGATTATTTACAACTCAACAACACTTACATTATATTAAATACATTAGTAAACTCAGTTCTCCCAGATATCTGTTAATTCAACAACACAGTTACAAACTCACAACAGACAGAGAATAAGAAATTAGGGGGAAACACTGTTAGAAGCAAGGGCTACATCTTGTATTTTAAACGCTGCGAAGGGGCTGCTGTTTCCTACTGCTTCCCTGAAGTGGTCTGTCTTCCCAGGATGGGTGAAATGCAGAGTGAGGTCACAAAGCAGCAGCTGGGAGAGCTCTGTGTAAACAGAACGAGAGGCGTCACAACGCAGCACGCACGTTCAGACGACCAGTATTGTATCCCTCCGGCAGCCATTTCCTGGCTCTCCATTTACTTTCCTTCTGCGTGACCGCGGACCAAACCACAATCTGGGTGTGCTCACCGTGACCCCAAGCCAAATGCATGTCCTACAAAGCAGGGTGACAAAAACTTACCAGCAGGGTTCTGGAGCCCAACTTGTCAGCTGGCTTACTGACCTGCACCTTGATTTGTGCAAATCTGAGTCACAGCTTGGGAGACTCACCGCTTTTACACGTTACACACGCACACGGGATGGAATGTCACCCAGGCCCGTGGGGCACGGCACAAAACGCGGCGGCTTTAGCTCCCAGAAGCAACCACATTCCTTCAGCTCCTTGTTTTTCGAGTCTGTGGAGTTTCTTTTTTTTTTTTTTTTTTGAGGTGGGGGCTGGTATTACCTCCATCTCTCTAAATGACATGCTTAGTTTTTTCCATTTTAGTTATTATCTATCCAGTTCTGATTACAGAAGGTTAATATATAACTCTTTCACTCATGCCATCCCCGATATACTTGAGTACAGTTTTTGCCAACTCAACATTTAATATTTAAAATTTCTGATTACATAAATAGTCTTCACAGCCGAGTTGTGTAGTATGACATTTCCCTTCTTACATACACCCTGCAGGGGTGTCCAACCTGTGGGCCGCATGCGGCCCAGGATGGCTATGAATCTGACCCAACACAAAATCGTAAGTTCACTTAAAACACTGCGAGATTTATGTTTTGTGATCACGTGTCGCACTGTATTTAATGTGCCGTGCCGCCCAGAGACACCAAGAGGCTGGACACCCCTGCAGGGGATTTCCTTCATCTTCGTCTCTAAACCTTTCTGTTGAGTTTATTTCCATGATCACACTTTTAAATGCCAAGAGCTCCCTCCTGTTCTCTAAATGTTTTTGTAGTTTTACATTCCTTGTTCATGGACACAGCATCTTCTCCCCCACCACCCCGGGTACTAGTGACGATTTTGGGAGTTCCCGCCCCCTTGACTGGGCCTGTGTAGTACCGGTTCTGTCTCCGCCCTGCGCATTACACGCTCTCCTCGGATGGCCTGCCGCGCCACCGCCGTTTGCCCACGCTGAGGCCGTGGCGCTCGCTGTAAAGGTAACTGGAAGCTCTATGCCCATGGGAGTCTGTACTGTGGGGTGATCTGACTGGGTATGTTCTTGGGGAATCCTGTGCTACCAGTACTTCTGGGTCTTTTAGGCTGCGCACATTCCTGAAAGAGGAATCTGCTTGAGGATATAATGTTGTGTAGCCAAGTGGGAAGAGGAGGCTGGAGGTAAACTTGGTCTGAATGCCCTCATGTTTAGCATAGCGCTCTCCCCGCCACCTCGTGGCTGGTGGCTCCAGCCAGAGACCCCCTGCTCCGCCCGCCCAGGGAACAAGCCTGGCGTCCCCCGCCCCAGAGAAACAGCTGCCCAGTTAAGCAGAAGGGGGAAGAGACCTCAGGGGCTCTGTAACTTCTGAAATGAACATTTAACCGGCCCTCCCGTCCTTTGCTCCACCTTCACCCCGACTTCCAGAGGATTCTGGTGCCACCACGTGTTGGGTCTTTGGGGCTATTTCTTGGCGTTACCCAGCCAGCTCACAGTGCAGATGTGTGGACGCTAGGGTTCAAGCTTCTCTGCTTCCATTTGCTTTCTGGGTTGTGGTTAACACTTTTGGAGACCTCTTTTGTCTTACAATAGATTTTGTCTATTTAAAATCACTTTAAATCTCAGGCCTACCAGTGACTAGCATTTGTCCCTAGGGAAGTTAGTTAACTGTTCCATGTCTGTTCCTGCATCTGAATGCAATGGTACTACTTCCTACCATGTGGGGTTGCTATGACAATCGAGCCCACGGATGCAGAGCTCTCAGAAGAGTATCTGGATTATGGTAAATATTGTAAGTGGTATCTACTGACATTATTTGGGGGTGGGGGTAAACTGTCCATTTGATCTTCAAAGTCTTCAAGTCCCTTACACAGTCTCACTGGATGACGTACCCCAAAACTTTCCAGGAACACACGCACCATGTTTATCATTTCTATTTCACTTCATGAAAAAACAATCTGCAAGTTAGAACAGTAAATCAAATTTGAGAGGAATCTAAAGCATCTCAGTTTTATATGACTGCAAGCACCCAGAACCAGTTATGCATTTAGTAGACATTTTTCAAGAACCTATTCTATCCAGGCGCTGTGTTAACTGCTAGGAATACCTTTAGAGAGCTTACAGCTGATCAGGGATAGGAGAAGGTGGTAAACGCGTAGTCACAACACAGTGTGAGAGGCGACACGGAAAGGCAGAAGATAAAGCATGACGGCTTGAAGGAAGTTTTCCAACTGAAGTGATCATGACTAATGGCGTAGAGCTGGCAGTGGTTCACCTAGGGGGGGCAGCCAAGGGCGCAGCGGTGGGCATGTCAGAAGGTGGTGCACGTGTCCAGCCACACGCACAAAGACCCAGTGTGCAGATACACACCCAGGTCAGTATGGTCAGAGCACAGAACACGCCAGGAAAAAATCCTGGGCCTGATCTCAAGAGGTTTTACAGTCCACTCAGGGAGGTTTGGACTTTATCTGGAGGACAACAGTGAACCAAGGAGTGTTTTCAGCAGATTTACATTTTAGAAAGATAATCCCCGCTGTAGAGTTGAGGGTGGCTTTAGAGATGATGAATTAAACACAGCTAACCGGATTTCTCTACACCAGACTCCTCAGTGCCTTTTCAGTGCTTGCTGTGAATCTGTGACGGAAATTTAGAGCATGCTGCACTTCCCAAGCGATGTGACCCCGAGCACGCGGGCCCCATCTGTGCTGCACACCAACTGCTAACACTCGTGAGACAGCAGGGTTCCCGGAGTCAAGTCTGGGACACGCCGCCCCGGGAGGAACGGGCAGACACGGCACAAGCGGCCCTCACTATCCGGTGCCTGACTGCGAGCTCCCATCCTCCTCCTCTTCTCCGTGACACAGTTTGTCTCCCTCTGTGGCGGTCCTCTCCTCCCCAGCCTCAGCAGTGGGCTCTGACTGGTGTAAGCTGGTCTGGCAGCCCTGTTCCCCTTGGCAGCGGCAGCTGCTGCTGCAGAGAGACGCCTGTGATGCAAATCTGGCCAATGAAAGGAAAGGGGCAAGTGCTGGAGGGAACTGGGAAAGGCTAACATGGGCAGACTTAGGCAGAGATGGCGTCTGTCTGCACCTGGCCATGTCTGCAGGCAATGACCACGAGAAGCGGGGAACAAAGTAAAAACACTGAGAACGCCCAGTCCCCAGCGAAGTCTTTAAAACTCTGAATTACCTTTAGGGCTGCCACACCTTAGTTCTTGTTACATTTCTTAGTGTATAAGCCATGTTAGGTTGGTATTTTTTTACAGGTAGATACACACCTCACAACTATTTTCAAATATCCAGAAGCTGTCAGAAGAACTACATAATCAGTGCAGTTTTTAAGGTCAGCAGTAGGACCAGGGGTGAAAGGAACAGGGGCACAGATTCGGCTAGTCCGTCAGGAGCAACTTCAAGCGCAGCAGGTGGACTGAGACAGGGAGTCCCTCGGCACGGGGACTGTCTGGCCAGGGATGGACTGGCCCTGGAAATACACTGTTTATTTTATAACCGTAACATGCAAACATTTTAACGTAGTGATTCCATGCTTACCTTTCATCTTCTTCAACTCCAAAGAAATCGTATCAATATTTTTGATTATGGCTTCCACATTTAGCTTATGGCCAGCCACATCATTCGTCAACATCTAATTTTAAAAGAGAAATAAGAACAATATATAAATCAGAAGTATTTATGTACATTATTAAAATACTCATATTTTCAGTACTTCTAAAAGGACAGTCTGTTTTATCAGAACTGAAATAACTGTGAAATCATAGTCTTTGTTAAGGGATTAGCGTTCTAACATAAGGAGGCATCCACTTGCTAGTATGCTCTCAACTAAAAACACCGCCCCCTGGAATTCTTAGGGTGAGGTTCCCCCTGTGATCAGGCCGTACCCACAAGGTGGGGCCCTCACCATGGAAGTGCAGCGGTCCCCTTCCCAGAAAGCCTGGCACTTACAAACTGCCTCACAACTGAGCAACCGTGTTAGACCTTCTCTCAGTCAGGGTCTTAATCCAACTTGTTCTTGAGTGACAGGGTCCAAGCACAATTTCTTTAAATAGACAGTAAAATTCAAGATAAGATTCGATTATAACTCATTGACTGAGAGGATGGCAAAATAAGCACTACTATGTTAGCTGAGGGAATTAGGGCAACCTAATTCCACATTTGAATATCTGTCAACTGAAATCCGTACATCAACGTGTTACAGCGTTGTATATATAGTACATATTCTTACACAACCATGTCAGAAACAAATGCAGAGGTGGGTCACTGGAAACCAACCTCAGCCATTCAATTCTCTGCAAACAGCTTGAGAAATGAACCCCAGGCCGCACACACAGCACCTGGCCATGGGAAAGGCGGCCAGTTACCTGGCAGTTAGGTGACTTGTCCAAAATCATGAAAAACCAACCTTTATTTCCTTGCCTCCACCTTTTCCTGAGCCACAGGGACTGATCCTGTTTCTCTCCTGCACTTCGGAGCCACTGTCAAGGAAATAAAAAGTTCCTCTTCAGGACAACCTATAAAACACACTTTGCATCCACGGATAAGCCCCTTGCGCTGAAAAGGAAGTGGCGACTTTCATGGGTGTGGCGCCCCCAAAAGATTCAGGTCTAAGGGGAAAGGAAAGATGACACAAAAATAAAGGGGGTACGTGGAATGTAAAAATTAATTTAAAAACAAGAAGGAAGTAAAAACTAAATAGAGAACTGTCCGAGGAAGCTGACCCTCCCAGTCTGGGGTCGGGCCACCCAGGACTCTCAATCCCCCGTGGGTGGGTGGGGTCAGCAGCAAAACTCCACTGGCCTAGAGAAAGGCCAGGGGTGCCCCGAGCCTCCCCCACGGAGCTTGGGCAGGCCATTAATCAAAGACATGGCGGCCGAGGCCTGCATGGAGCTCTTACCAGGAGGCGGGAAGCAGACCCCGGGCTTTGGGGCAGAGGGAAGAGTGGGCTCAGAGGCTAAGACCCCTGTCCGACCCATAGCCAGGAGGCACCACACACTCAGCCCACACCCTGCCAGTAACTGTTACCCCACAGCCCATGCTCTACCGGCCGGACCCTCCTTCCCGGGCCAAGTGACACCCGCACAGAGCCCCCGGTCTTTGGGGGCCCGTCTGACTGCCACTTGGGGCCTGAAAATGGAACCCTAGGCAGCTTCGATATCCCCTCGGGCTCCCAGACCCATGGGGCTTAGCAGACGCTGTGCCGGACAAACGAGAGCTATTATCTACGTTTCTGCAGATGAGCAGAGTACTGATGACGTCAGAGATGTTCAGCGGTTTCTAGCCAAACAGAGACATTGACCTGGCAGCCATCTTGGCTGGATTCTAGGAGTCTCTGCCACCAGCCCTTATGCGTCTAGCTCAGAGACCTTCCTGGGCGCCCTCGGGACAGGCATCGGCCTCCAGGAGGCGCTCACCCGCCGGAGTCAGGTTCTGGGCCAGTCTCGGACTTCTCCAAGCCTCCCCCGCAACGCACACCGGCCTCGGGAACCAGTCCTTTCCGGACAACCGCCCTCCGCGCAACCCTGCGGACACTGCAGGCCCTGCCGAGATCTGCCCAGCCACAGCCATGCCGGAAGCACCTACCTCTGCCCAGCAACAGCTGTGCCGGACGCATCCGCCTCCATTGATGAGTTCCGGTCCGGTCCTCGACGCCCACTAGTTCCGGGCTAAAGATGGCCACTGAGGCCGCCTGGAATTTCAACAACCTTTACCCACCCGGAACAACTGAGGCTGGCCCACTTCCGGCAACCCACCAGGTGGGTACAACCTGCCAGGCCAAAAGTCACAGAAGCTCTGGCTGCGGGGTGGGGCAAGCTGGCGGTAAAAGTGAGGCTTGGCTTGGTGATTGGCCAGCTCCTCTGCCTGATGCAATCTGGGAGTTGTAGTTCCAGTGAAGGCCCCTGTGGTCAAGGTTCTAGATTCCTGGCTGAAAGTGGCTGGTGGGGATGGTGCTGCCCTGCTTGTTAGTTATCCGGCGCTGTGCTAGATGCTTTTACAGGCCTTGGCTGCATTTAATTTTGTCCAAATAGGAGTGCAGTTAGGGTCAGACACGGGACTGAAAGCGCTGGGGTTTGAATCCTACTCCATCCTTTGTTTAGCTCTGGAGAGAACAGGAAGTGCATTCAGGGTTCGAATGTCCTCATCTGCCCTGTGCAGATAAAAATAACTGCCTTCCCGTGTTCTAGTGCATCAAAAAGGGCTGGGAGACGATATGCCCGACAAATGAGGGCTGTTGTCACCACTCTACATTTTTGCAGATGAGCAGAGCACAGATGAGGTCAGAGATATTTAGCTGTTTCTTGCCAAATAGAGACATGGGTACTGCAGCCATCTTGGCCGGATCGCAGGAGGAGTCTCCGCCTCCCGCTGCTGTGCGGCTGCTTCAGAGACTTCCTGGGCGCCCTCGGGACGCGCATCGGCCTCCAGGAGGCGCTCACCCGCCGGAGTCAGGTTCTAGGCCAGTCTTGGGCTTCTCCGAGCCTCCCCGGCGACGCACACCGGCCTCGGGAACCAGTCCCTTCCGGACAACCAGCAGCACGTAGTCTGGTGTTTAGTTTATGTCCCGTTGCCTTCAGTTTAGCACAAGAATCTGTTGTCTGGTGCAGAGCCAGACAGGTGAGGAGGCGCGGGGAGAGCTGAGCGTCAGTCCTCAGGATAGCCATCCATGAAGCTTAAAAGAGGGTACCTTTCTTTCTCTGAACCTCAGTTTCCCCATCTGCTTCCTCGTGAAAGGAATGGTCTAGATCAGTGTGTCCTAAATTTCATTCACTATGGAGCCACTGTGCATCAACTATTTCATTATTACCTGCATATTTTAAATTGACTTCCTTTTAACATTGAGGTCTACTGGAAAAGCTTTCTATCACCAGTGTAAATGAAGAAGATATAAACAGAAGATCATAGGAAAGATAAAAACCATGAAAATAAAACATTACTTTTAATCATCAGGATATTCTTGCCTACGGATGGCTATGATCCTGTGGCCTGATCTGCTTTGTTAAAAAGGGTTTTTATTGCCTGTTAGAGAAAGGTTCAAGGGAGTCTGGCAGAAACTGAAACTCGCTTCTTGATGTAATCAGGACTGCAAGAGTTGGGAAGGAATACCTCGCACTGTGTGATTATGTGATTTTTAGCGCCTGTGTATCATATAAAACCATCACTCACACCCCTAGTGGGATAGGTCTGTCCCACCCTTTGCAGAACCTAAGATCACGTGCTCTCCAATATCCCGTCTCTTCCTAAGCCTCCTTCATTCTCAATGTGCTGTGGATGCCTTTCATTCAAAACAGCAACCCTGGAGAGAGTCTTCCCGAACCAGCCCTGCCCAACTCTGCGGTCCTGTCCCCGTCCCTCTCTGCCAGTGCTTCCCTCCCTCAGCATTTTACCTGTGCACACTCGCCAGGGTCAGACTCTTGCATTTTCTTGTTTCTGATACGTGCGCTGAGCATCTTTCTTCTAATCCTTCAAGAGCTGAGGAAGGGAGGAAAAAGAGGCACGGACGGTCAGAAGACACACTGTTGGAGCATTCGTGGTAAATCACACGCTGTGTTAGAACCCCTCCTGTCCTGACAACGCTGTGAGGTCGCCATCATCAGCCCAGTTATATGGAAAACGAAGCTGAGGCTCAGAGGGTTCGGTGCCTGCTCAGGGGCACAAGAGCCAGCCGCAGATCCTGTCTGTGCGACCCCGGAGCCTTAGCTTCTCTGAGCCTGGTCGTCTCCAGAACAGGGATGCAATCTTCTGGGCCAGCGAAATAGTTCCGCACGGCTCCGTGATGTTTAGGGGTTCCCAGATCACTGGACTTTTCAACAACAACCGATACTAACACACACACACACACGTGGAAACACGGTGTGACCGACAGAGGGGGAATCAAAGACATTCACGAAAGCAAAAATAACTGCCATCACTGTTTTATAAAAGCAGGGATAACTACCATAAAAAAAAAAAAAACAAGGGGGGGACAGAAGGAAAAAGAAGGAAGATCGTAATAATTTCAGAATAAGACAAGCTTAACTGAACTCTTATTGAGGGTGTCTTTTTTTTTTTAATCCTCCATGCTGATGCAGACGAGTTAAAACTTTGCCTCAGATCTGCAGGATTCTATTAGATGTGTCGTTGGAAACTCCCCACAGGTAACAGCAGAAGAAAAGAAGGTATTTAAGAGAAGTAGGGTGGAAAAAAGTGGGTAGGTGGAGAGAGCATTAAGACCGAGAACCTGGAAAATCAGTGACGATGGGGCTGGGCCCGGGGCGGAGGCAGCGTCTCCAGAGCCCCATCCTCCCCGTCACAGCGAACTCATTCACAGGGTCCTGCCTGCGTTTTCGGCCCTTGCTTTGAGCTCAACCACCTGCCTGTTAGGATTCCGTTCGAGGGATTTTAGAACTTGACCCAGCCAGAGTGCTGATGACCTCTTATGAGTAGATATTCAAACCGCTGTCATTTGGGAAAGATCATCATTACACTTTTTTTTTTTTAAAAAAGGAGACTCAACTCTGTGTTGATTTTAAATAAGTGTTATAGGCAGGAATAAAAAAAGAGATCTGGCCTTAGAAAAACTGATTGTAATAACATATTTTTCTCCATAAAAATGTCTTGAAGCGATGATGACTACTCATTGTGGTGTTTTTCCTCCTGAAACACAGATTCCTTTTTATCCCCCCTAAGAAAATACAACTTTAAAAGCGTGAGCTGCTACTTAAGACTTGAGGCTGTTACAGATGAGGCCCTAAAAAAAAATCTATCTCCCTTAATAATTTTGCAAATACAACACTTTGCTGGAGCCCAACACAGGTTGTAGCAGTTAATTCTAATGTTAATCAAATAAAGGAAATTAAAAAGCTGGCAAATTCTCTCATAAAGAGAAAAGCTGTTATGGAACAACAAGGTGATTAAGCGTTTTATGGACCCGGGTGTATGTGCCTCGGTTAGTTTTATTACAAATTCTTCACATAAAGTCTTCCTTTCCAGGAAAAGCAATTGAGTGAATTATCTCACATCTTCCTCTTGCTCTCAGAGCTCCCACTGGCATCCTCCCCCTGCTCCTTGTCAATGGGGACTACCGGTCTCTATGCCTAGGGACCGGCTTCCGCCGGAGCACCAGCAGCCTCTGAGTATCGCTTTGTACAACCCTGGGGGACGCAAGCTTGGGAGGTAAGGAGCACGTGCTTGGGTCATTACCTACAGAGCTTGATGAGTGTGGGAAAGATCAAGGAAATTCCCACATGCCAGAGCTCTGCTTTTCCCAGAGCCAATCACATGCAGGAAGCCCGAAGGCCCGTGACTTCTGCCACTGTGGTCTAAACTGAAAGTTGGATTCCCTGCCCACTGTCGTCTTCAAGGAGCCGGTGTTACACTGGGCAGAGTCGTTCTATTTTTCTCTGGAAGAAACACTTACAAACTATAGAAAGATGTGGTCCATGAAAATCCAAGTTGCTCAGTGCATTAACTAAAATATTTTCCCCTTCTGATTAAGAAAATCTATAAAAGAAGAAAATCCTGCCATTTGTGACTACATGGACGGAACATGAGGCCGTGGTGCAGACACAAGTCAGAGACACACAAGTACTGTATGACCTCACTTATGTGTGTCATGTAAAAACATTGACCTTTTAGAAACAGAGTAGAGTGTGGTTGCCAGAGACCGAGAGGTGGAAAAGTTGGGGAGACGATGGGCAAGGGGTCCAAGCTTCCAATTATAAGATGAGTAAGTTCCAGCCCTGGCTGGCGTAGCTCAGTGGATTGAGTGCGGGCTGCGAACCAAAGTGTTGCAGGTTCCATTCCCAGCCAGGGCACATGCCAGGGTTGCAGGCCACGGCCCCCAGCAACCGCACATTGATGTTTCTCTCTCTCTCTCTCTCTCCCCCTCCCTTCCCTCTCTAAAAATAAATAAATAAATAAATCTAAAAAAAATATGTCTCCCTCTAACGAAGGGTCTCCAACACAATGTTAAAAAAAAAAAAAAAAAAGATGAGTAAGTTCCAGAGGTCTGACGTACAGCGTGGTGGCCATGGTTAATACCAGATTGTATACTTGAAAGTTGCTGTGAGAATAGAGCTTTAAGGTTCTCTCCACAACAACAACAAATAACAACAGAAGGGCGATCGCGTGGGGTTAAGGATGTGGTAACTAAACCTTATTGTGGTTAACGTTTCACAATATGTACACATATCTCATCATCGAGTTGTACAGCTTAAACTTACCCAATCTTATAAGTCAACTATTTCTCAGTGAGGCTTGGGGAAAGAGGGGTGGGAAAGGAAATTAGAGTTCTGTATCAACATTTCCCTCTAAAATAGGAAGCTACAGCCCTGGCTGCTGGCTACAGGACCTGGCAGCTCAGTGGATTGAGTGTGGGCTGTGAACCAAAGGGTCGCCAGTTCAAATCCCAGTCAGGGCACATGCCTGGGTTGCGGGCCAGGTCCCCAGTTAAGGGCACATGAGAGGCAACCACACATTGATGTTTCTCTCCCTCCCTTTTTCCCTCCCTTCCCTTCTCTCAAAAAATAAATAAATAAACCTTTAAAAAATAAAATAGGAAGCTACCCAAGTGGCCAGATAAAATACAGGGCATCCAGTTAAATTTGAATTTCAGGTAAACAACAGATTTTTTTTTACTGTAAGTATGTCCTGAATATTGTCTGACGCGTCCATATATAAAATATTTATTTGTTTATCTAAGATTTAAATTCAACTCAGAATCCTGATGTACTTTTATTTGCTAGATCTGGCAACCCTATGCCCAGAACACTTCAACCGTGCGTGAAAAGAGAAGCAAGCAGTCTGAGGTGTGAATGTAGATTCGGTGGGTACGGAAGCCAGAAGGATAGGGACGTTTTCCAACTCGAAGTCCAAAATAATAAAAGGCATGTACTCACTGCGCCAGGATGTGGCTCCCTTCTTCCTTAGACATTCCCGAGACGCAAGAAAGAAGCCGAGTCTCTGAGAAAACAGATGGATGAGAGCTGGCAACATTCAACGTGGTGGTGCTTGGGACAGTCGCTTGCTCTGCCTGTTTGCCTGAAAACTGTTTGCAGCTGGCTTTTCAGAAAATGCCTCCACCCAGCTGGGCGCACTCAGGACACCAGTTGTGTTTATTCTCAGCGGCCCACCAATCGGAGCACACCTTCTGTCCCCAAATAAAATATGTTTCTAATTCTAACATGTCAGCCTTCTGTTCCCCCAACAAGACTTCCCCTGTTTATTAAAGAAATAGGTTCTGATCACATGTTTCTCCCTCGGACACTGCCCCTAACTCTCACGCCTCACCCTCATCAGCCAGCCAAGCAATGAAAAATGAGAGTCTTTAGGAAAAAAACATATTATGTTCAGGAAGTCAGTTACAATGGACTATCAGTGTGTGCTCACCTTTTGTAATGAAAAAAAAAAATGTATGGGTGCCTATGAGCAAGTTGGGAAAAACATTCACCAAAATGTTAACGATGGTTATCTCTGCGAAGGGAGATTTATGGGTGATTTTATTTCTTTGCATTCATTTTTTCAGCCCAGCTCTAACTTTAGTCCCAACCCTCTTCTCTATATTTTAAACTCTCCAGGGCATTTCTCTGGGTGGTACAACATCAATCACGTTAAAGCAGAGACTCTCAAATATTGTAATACACAGTTTCCCGGGCAGTTTGGGAACATGCAGGTTCTGGGCCCAGCCCAGTGACTCTGGTGGAGTGCTGGGGCTCCTCGAACCTGCATTTTAAATCCTTCCTCCTTCCATTTTAACCTCTGGGGACCGAAGGCTGCACTTTGAGGACTATGGCACTGACTTAGAGCTCCGTTAGCACCTCCTACACGTCTCAAATGGGTGACCATAGTGGAAACTTATCTTAATGGCTACTGATGCCAGAGTTTAGTCGTTCTTTAAAATTATACACACATATGTGTATTACGTATAATAGACTGTGTGTGCAATTTTCAAGCATAAATCAGATCCACTTAAGGTTCATTTAGGAGAGGAAAGCGTTGCTCCTGGCCCCAGCCCCCAGCACGGCAGCAAATGGACTCAGTGAGTACCTGCTGGGTTCTTGGAGGTGGGAGGAAGCAGGTGGACATCCCAGCTTCAGGTTCTTCCTAATTTAGGTCTTTATTTCTTCTGTTTCCTAGCCTTTTTATTTACACATAGTAAACGCCCGATAAGTCTTATGAATGGGCAAGTTGGGCTGTTACAGTGGCACCCTGGAGAGTCAAAGAAACCGAGGTGTGTGTCGGCACCTGCCTCTCTGTTGGACTCTCAGCAAACCCGGACAGCTGCGGCTCCTCGGCCCCTGGAGGAGGGACAGCCCCGAGCTGTCTCAGGAGAATGTGGATGAACCACAGTGCTCTGAACACTGGAAATCCCCTACTCAGCCCTGTTTTCTGATTCTGCGCACAGACCAGAGATCCAAGAAGCGATTTCACAGCTGCTCTAGAAGGCAGCCACCGGCCCGAGAGCTTCAAAGCAGCCTGTGTGGCGTGGGCAA